CGTGTGGTAGCAGATGGAAATTTGTGGGCGCGCAAAGGCGACAGTTAGAAACAAGGTGAATGACGTCGTAGAAAACAGGATTGCACCAAACAGACACATAAAAAACCCTTCATTGTCTTTATCAATCAGTATCATTTGTTTTCTCTTGTTTTCTTTTTCTGTGTCCCTTTGTAGCAGTTTCCTTTTATTCTCTTCACGGTAGAGAGAAGCACGCCTCGCGGGAGACTGTAGGGGGGAAAGCGGGGTTAAAACACAGCTCAAAAGGGTTAGGAGGGATGCCACCGCAGCACCGTGACGACATTTCCTTTGCTTTTTGCAACTCCGCATACCCAACTCCGTACGGCGACAACACAATCCCAGGCAATCATCCAGGCGTTTCCTACAAGCACTTGGGGAGACAGTATGCACCACAACCAATCAACAAGAGTTCACTCACGACAGCTCTTCAAGTGCCGGGGTGTGGGTTGGGCCGTCACGGGCCCGTTTTACCTGCAGACATCAACAATCATGTTCGGTACACGCTGCTCCAACGGGACAATCACAATAGCAACTACGTGTTGGACTCCGAACGAGGAGGCAAAAGACATTTTGAGGAGGAACGTGCGGCTGAGAAACCCTGGTTACCGTCGCTGCGCCAATTGGGCCCACCGACGTCTGTGGCTTCTTTGCGTGCTCCGCAGCGTCGGGCCTTGGGCGTATATAATCACTTGGTTCCTGGTACTGAGCTGAGGGCTATGATGGAGCGGCGTGATCGCGAGGCCGCCAGGGAACGAACCGGGAGGGCGCATGTCTGTGGTGTGCCCGACCATCACCCAATAGACTTGGGCCTTTGCCACTTGCTTAGCGGCAGTACACCCCCTTCCATACACGGCGACGCCGCGGCTGCCCCAGCTGCTGCCCCTAAAGTCGAGGTTCCTTCCGGCTCCGCCTCGCGACCTGCGGAGGAGACGAAATCTCCTCTTGAGGGACCTCTCCCGGTTGAGCCCTCGCGTTTGCCTTTTCTAACGTTCTCCTCGCCGTCCACGGATGAGACACGGATGCGTGGTGTATATATGGGAAGGTGCCGTCCACCTATTAGCGTCCCGGATTTAGAGAAGGGGTCTAAGTTTGCTGAAAGGCATCGGAAGGCAGAAGCAGCCCAAGCTCGGCTGGAGGACATCCGCCTTGTGCAACTGCTACCCAAGCTTTAAGAATTTCAGGCAGAATTCTCTACAAACATGGTGACGATTTAGTTTTAGTTTTAGTTTATTTTTATTCTTTTCACCTTCCGCATTCTGCGTGACCAGATTCTCAAAGGCGTAGACTGAGAAGAAGAATGCTGACGGTGGTGTTTATGAATGTATACACCTATGTGGAGCCGTCTTTTTTTTTTCCTGTATGTTTAAATGTATGGCTGGTACTGACAACCTTGGGCCTGTACGATGATTGAAAGATGTGGGATCGAGCGGCTGCTTTGCATCTTTTTGCCGTCATTCATTGGAAGTCCCCACCATCATATATATATATACACACACATGTATACTGTGTCTGTGTCTGGTCGTGCATCACCTTTATTTCCGTTGTTCGCGTGTAAAGTTTTGCGGGAAGGCTGGTAGCTAGTAATTAGGTGAGCTACATCTTTCTCTTCTTGGGCAGGCCGAAGCAGGGGAGAGAGTAGGGCTCTGTGGGTGCGTGGAAAGGGGCAAGATGCAGGTAAACAGCACCACGAACAGAAGTAGCGACGCTGGAAGTCGCTTGGGCCGGCCGAGTGCCATCGGGAAAATGCCTCTGCCCGTTGTTGAAAAGAGGGGTCTCGCCAGCACGCCGGAGGCGGCGAGCACCGCTGCCGCTCCCGGCCCTGCTGCTGATGGCACCATGAACACTTCATACAATGGAAGTTTATTTTCACACCAAGCCACGGTGGAGGGAGAAAATGCAGCCCCGATGTGGGCGACTCGGAATTCGCTAGAGGGAATACGCGGCTGCTCACTTAAACGAAGTCCCGAGGTGAGTCTGCGGACAGCGTCAAAGACGCACAGCGCTCTAACCACAAAACGTGAGGGAGCTTCCGCGTTGTTCATGCAGGCGTCATCCATGAGCTCCACTTTGAGGCGAGAACAGGCGGTGATGGGTCCAGAGTTGTACCTGCAACTTTGCTATGAACGGCAGCTGCGGCGTCACAACCCCAAACATGGCTTTGACAAGACGGGAGAGGACTACATCTACTACAATCATCGAAGCAAAGGCTGCTACATCCCACGTAGACCTAGAAAAGGCACCTTGACCCTAACCTACAACCACATGTTTGACTTCACCGATGGATCCCGGTTCCTGTGCGGTGGGGATGCGGAGCCGCCGCGGCCGAACCCCAATGTGGTGAACACGCATACAGGCGATTTCAAGTCGCTCGTGAAGCGAGACCAGAAGGAACTTGCAGAGAGTGCCTTCCTTAAAGAAGGCTATTCCATACCAGCTCACAGTCTCACCTTGACCTCACCGCAGCGTTCAAAATCTCAGGCCGCAAAAACCATCTCCGTTGACTTGGCACGTAGCTTGCAGGTATCAGATCTGCGCATCAAACCTTTCCAAAGGCGCGTAATGATTGAGGACGTCATTGCGAAGGACAGCCGACGAGTGGCAAAAGTGATGGATGGGGTCAGCAGCGTAGTGGCGAAGGGAAAGGTGAAGTTGAATGACGTACCAGAGAACCTCCGCCGTGCCCTCAGTGAGGAGCAGGTCCGCCACACTGCAACACTTGAAAGTACGAAGGCTTCAGCTCTAACGACAGGATATTACATGAATGAAACAGGATCCCAGCGTTACGCGACGGAACTCTCACCTGCCCCAGGAAGAACGTGGCAGAAGGGTGAGCCGCACCGGCCGCCGCCTACACCTGAGCAAACGACAAAACGTCCGAATGTCTCCTTCACGGATCACGCGGACCGAGTCTTGCTGGGGTTTACGGAGAATGTTCTTAAGCCTGTGATTAGCAAGGATGGTGGACCATCGTACCAACTCATGCGTATGCGTGAGGAAGAGGCCAAAGAGGAGGCTGAGGTGGAAGGAATTGCCAAGTCAGACACCGTGGATCCGACGCAGCAACACCCACAGGAAGCGAACACCACTCAGGCTCTGCCTTCGCTTCCCGCAAGCAAAGAACTGCCGGTGCTTCTCCCTCCGATCGCGATTGCGGCAATGCGGGACGCGGAGTGGTTTGACCCTGTCGGTTTGGCCAAGTCAAAATTCGATGAGGCGCCGCCATCGTGGTCGGCGCGGCCACCAGAGAAACCGCTGCCGTTTGAGACCTCGCGGCTTGACTATATTCGGAATTATGACGCTGAAGCTGCCAATCCTCCAGAGGCAATGATGCACTGGACGCAGGCGAAGACACTTCTGTGAGGTTTGCAGAGGGAGGTGGGCATTGAACCGCAAAGAGAGCGGGGGAGGGTGGGAGAGACGCCGGGCAGCAGATATGGCGTGAATTGGTGGCTTCTCTAGTTTTGCGTGGTGATGGATTAACGTGAGAGACTGGCCTGCGAGGCGGGTAGAGGGAAGTAATAAAGAGGCACACCTACAGTATGAAAGCAATGTATTTAAGGATTTAACCACGTTTTTGTTTTCTCCCCTAACTCTATAGTTGGAAACGCGCAAACTGGCGCCTTTGTGGCGCGGTATATAGGATGTGAAGAAGTGAATGGGAGCTAAAAGAGAGAGAGCGTTTTTTTTTTGTGTGTGGTGCGAGTGGAGGGCAGCCTGCTTGTGGCTACTTCTTTTTTTTTTTACATTCTGCCCAGACGATTTTGTACTCCTGTCTTTTTATTTTGTAGTCGCGCGTGGGTGTGGCGTCGCATATGCCCCATGCGTGGAAACTGATTTTCTGTATGCGTGTTTGCCTGCGCCATTGTAAGAGAAGGCACTGAAAAAGGGGCACGAAAAAAAAAAGCGCGGGGAATAGCAATAGATAAAAAAAAAAATTTGTTTATGTTGTGGATGTACAGCTCCCCTCTAGCGTTACACTCTGACCGCCAGCATCATGTAATTCCCGCGAATGGGCATGGCAGGGAAGGAACGTACTGGTTAGCTTGTTAACATGTATTTTTCGACCTCCTGCCGCGGTGGGCCTGTTATTGCTGTCATCGAAGCCGTGGAATGGTTCTATTTTTCTTTTTGCTCTCCATGACACGCGCACTCTCTATCTCGTTCCTGTGTCGAGAACATCGCACGACTGGGGCATCATCACAAGCGCGGAAAGGATCCAAAAGGAATATATATTTGCGTGGGATGTTGTGGATGCTTTTCGCTCCTCCTTTTCCTCGTCGTTTACTTCTTTTGTTCTACTCTTGCTGCAGATCATTATTGCAAGTGCATTGGGATGTAAATACCGTTGTTACTAAATGGTTGCACTTGTAAGACATTTCCAGGCCCGCTTTTTATTTTTATTTTTGTTGTGTATGAGGGCGGGGGAGGAAGGCGTGTCCCCTTTTTGTTGTGGTGCTTTATGATTATTCTTTATCTTTTTCATGTACAGTTTTCGTGGTTGCCGCGGCGTGTTCCACGCGCTCACAACTCCTTTCCCTTCGCTGCGGAAAAAAAGGAGTAAAAAATCTAAAGGCTCACGCCCCTTGGATTGTTGCGTTCCACCAACTGCGATACTGACTGCCTCTCGCCTCTCCCTCTCTTGGGTCCTTCTTCGGCTGTTGCAGCCTCCGCATGGTGGGGGTTTTCCCCGCGCACGCGCTCACAAGGAAGCGCATGTGGCTGGCAACCCGGCGGCACACACAGAGGAAGTGCTTCTTGCTGGCTTGTTAAGGGAAGCCGCGACGTCCGCTCCTGCCTTCTTTGCTCGGATGAGTGCCCTGCAAGCGACGGTGGAGTGACGCAAGGAGATGGCCATGCCCAAAAAAAACTTGATAACGCGGAGCTGGCAATCGAACGGCATGCGAACGGGACGACGATGGATGCTGGTACGTTAATTACTGCCTTGCTGAGTCAGTTTTCCCGGCTTTCTCTGGCACCCCACCGGGGGCTTCAGGAGGCACTGTTGGAGCTGCATGCTTCTCCAATTGGGTGTATGACGCGCAACTTGAAGGAAGTACTGAACAAGGGGATAGGGCGTGGCCTGCAAGTCTCTTTGGGGCCGTGATGAATGCCGAAAAAGTCACATTTGCCGTCTCTTGACGAAGCTTTACGGCGAGGAGCGTAGGCGACTAGGAAGCTGTGGGGCACGATGTAGTCCTCCCCCCCCCCCCCCGAGGATAATCAACCTGGAACGTGGTTCCCCTGCAGCTAGAGCGCACCTCGCCCTGTGTGATGTATTCCTCGAGTTAATCGGCGAAGACTCCCCCTTGACGATTGGCTCTGTGGGAAGGCTTCTTGGCACGCCTGTCGCCTGGGACCGTGGGCGATTTCTCTCTAAAGGTGGCAATTGATGCTAGACGCGGCGTCACTGCCACAGCCACCGTTCAAGATGCCTCCGCCACACGAAATCCGATGCCTAGCTGTTTTGGAAGTAGATGCGACTCTTCTGGTGGGCGCGTCGAAAAGGTGAAAGCACACTCCATGCAGACATCTTGGGCCTCCGTCCGCATCCCACGGCGGCGGCAGCAACAGCGGCTGAGCCGACTACGCGGCTTTCAGGTGTCCTGGAAGAGGCCGAGTTGCGAACGGCGGAAGCTGCATCATCATTGTCGTCATCTCTCCACCAACACGGACATGTTGTACGGGTCACTGGCAAGGTTATCCGTTGGAATTAGCGACAAAAGTTGTTCGCTGCACCGTCTGTCTAGGCTACGGCAGCGGCACCACGGAAAAGCTTTTCCCCATCTTCAGAGCGGCCAAGACGGCCGCCATCACTGCTTCTGCGCTTGTTTACTTGACTGAAAGGAGTTTTTATTATTATTATTATTATTTTCTTTTCTTTTATCATCCTACTTTTTTAATTTACTCTACTCTTTTTGTTGTTGCTTCGAGTCTGTGTGTTTGGTTGTTTCTATACATTCTTGGCGATGCCGGTTTCTGGATGTCTCACACACGTGTAGCAATGCATCTCCATTTTGAATTTCCATGTATTTTGTTTTATCGGCAAACACACAGACACATACATACATGTGTGTGTGTGTGTGTGTGTGCGTTTTTTTTGCTCT